TTTTTTTTGCGGTACGCGGGCCTCTCACTGCTGCGGCCTCTCCCGCCGCAGAGCACAGGCTCCGGACGCGCAGGCCCAGCGGCCACGGCCGCTCCGCGGCACGCGGGACCCTCCCAGACCGGGGCACGAACCCATGTCCCCTGCATCGGCAGGCGGACTCCCAACCACTGCGCCACCAGGGAAGCCCGATCATTTGATTTTTATTGTTTGACTTATCCATCGAAGAATTATATTAAAAGATTTCTTAATATTTACCCATTTTTACATTGCTCAAGTCAATATCATTTTACTATATCTATGGTCTCTCTCTCTCTCTACATATATATATATGTCACATTTTTGCATTTATCTTTAGATGTGAAATGGATCTGGAACTTTCTTTTTTGACACATATTTTATCAGGTTTTGGTATCCAGTTATGATAACTTCTAAAAGATGAATTAGAATTTTTTTCTTTTCGAATTCTCTGAAATAACTTAAATAGCACTGTAACTGATCTGTTTTCAGGTTTGTCTGTGAAACTGGAGGAGGGATGGAGATACAAACTGATGTGACAGCTTCTCCATTTCTTTTGTTATGGATTTATTTAAACATTTTTTCAGTCAATCTTCATTATTCATGAATTCTATACTTGAGAATTCACCTACATGCCAAAATTTATTTGTGACCCCCAAATCAATACTCACAGCACTTTGTGGTCATTCCCAGATTTATGCATGCTCAGAGCAGTGGAAATCTGAGTTGCCACATGTGCATGGCTCCAGCTACAATAGAACAAGGTGATGCTCTCTGCTTTCTTGTTGTAGCTCTCATACTGTAAATAGGTGTTCTTTTTGCAGTCTATTTAGTGCCACATTTTCTGCATTTCTGTGCTTTTTGTTGATGAGTTAGCTCTTTAAAATGGCCCGAGTATAGTTCTGAAGTGTTGTCTAGTGTTCCTAGAAGCTGTGATGTGCCTTGTGGAAAGAATATGTATTTTATTTTATTAGAGTATAATTGCTTTACAATGGTGTGTTAGTTTCTGATTTATAACAAAGTGAATCAGCTATACATAAACATATATCCCCATATCTCCTCCGTCTTGCGTCTCCCTCCCACCCTCCCTATCCCACCCCTCTAGGTGGTCACAAATCTCCGAGCTGATCTCCCTGTGCTATACGGCTGCTTCCCACTAGCTATCTGTTTTACATTTGGTAGTATATATAAGTCCACGCCACTCTCTCACCTCATCCCAACTTACACTTTCCCCCTCCCCGTGACCTCAAGTCCATTCTCTATGTCTGCATCTTTATTCCTGTCCTGCCCCTAGGTTCTTCAGAACCTTTTTTTTTTTTTTTTTTTAGATTCCATATGTATGTGTTAGCATACGGTATTTATTTTTCTCTTTCTGAGTTACTTCACTCTGTATGACAATCTCTAGGTCCATCCACCTCACTACAAATAACTCAGTTTCGTTTCTTTTTATGGCTGAGTAATATTCCATTGTATATATGTACCACATCTTCTTTATCCATTCATCTGTCGATGGACACTTAGGTTGCTTCCATGTCCTGGATATTGTAAATAGAGCTGCAATGAACATTGTGGTACATGACTCTTTTTGAATTATGGTTTTCTCGGGGTATATGCCCAGTAGTGGGATTGCTGGGTCGTATGATAGCTCTATTTTAGAATATGTATTTTAGATAAGCTTTGTTCATGCATGAGGAACAGTGCTGGTGGCTATGAGTTCAATGTGAATAAATCACCTGTATGCAGTGTCCCCCTTATTGCCCCCTTTGCTTTCTGAGGTTTCAGTTAATCACAGTCAACTTTCATCTGAAAATATTGAACAGAAAAATCCAGAAATAAACAATTCACAAGTTTTAAATTGTGCACCATTCTGAGTAGCATGATGAAACCTTGTGCCGTCTTGTTCCATCTCATCTGGGACATGAATCATCCCTTTGTCCAGCGTTTCTCAGGGATTAGTAACTTAGCAGCCATATAGGTTATCAGATTGGCTGTCCTGGGATCACAGTGCTTGTGTTCAAGTCACCCTTACTTAACAATGGCCCCAGTGCACAAGAGTAGTGATTCTGGCAATTTGGATCTGCCAAAGAGAAGCCATAAAGTATACCCTTGAAGTGGAAAGGTGGAAGTTCTCAACTTAATAGGAATAAGAAAAAAAAAATCATATGCTGAGGTTGCTAAGATCAATGGTAAGAACAACTCTTTTATCTGTGAAATTGTGAAGAAGGAAAAAGAAATTCGTGTTAGTTTTGCTGTCACACCTCAAACTGCGAAAGTTTTGGCCACAGTGCATGATAAGTGCTTAGTTAAGGTGGAAAAGACATTAAAATTGTACAATAAGGTATTTTGAGAGAGAGAGAGAGAGAGAGAGATAACATTCACATAACTTTTATTACAGTATATTGTTATAATTGTTCTATTTTATTATGTTATTTTTGTTAACCTCTTACTGTCCCTAATTTATAAATTAAACTTTATCATAGGTATGTATGTACAGGAAAAAACATAGTATATATAATATTTGGTACTATCTGCAGTTTCAGGCATTGACTGGGGGTCTTGGAATGTAACCCCTGAGGGTAAGGGTGGGCTACTCTATATTAAATAAGGTGTTTTTAAACAGAAACATACACAAAATAAGGTTATGTCTTGATCTGTTGATGAAAATGTGGCCAGAGACTTGCAGAAAGCTTGTTCTGTATTTCCTCTAGGGTAGATGATTCAATATTCACGAATTCAGTGTTTATAACTACTGTGAATAATGAGAATCAACTGTACTTATCTTTGTCAGGTTTTAAAATATACATTTTCCTTTAAAAAAATCTCCTTCATTAGCACTTTCTCATTTAGAAATATAGAGTTCTACATGACAATATTATTATTTGATAACTAAAAACATCAATTATGTAGTTATACCTCCTTTCCCCCCCATGTATATATGTTTTCTCCTTTAAGTAATTAGTTTTGCAAAGGGACTGTTTAATTCACTGTTCTTTTCCAAGACAGAGTTCTTGGAAAACGCCATTTACTCCAGTCTCACAACTAGGTGGAGCCTAGTCAGAAGTGATTTATGTCATTTCTAGGCCTGGTCTATAAAATCTCCTGTCCAAAACACCCAATCTGAGGTCAGTGTTAGAATCTACAGGTTGAAGATGACGGGGCCTCTGTCAGCCTGGTTCTCAGAACTACTGCCCAGAGGCAATACACCTCCCCTTCTCAATAGGACTTTATTGAGAAAGAAACAGACTGGATCCTATTAAGCCACTGAGAGCAGGCTCGTCACTTAACTAATGTACACACTCTCCCTTATCGGTCTCAACCTGACCTCACAATGCAGCTTCAATTTACCACTCTCAGATCTAAATCTTCAGTACATTCTTCTTCTCTCCTGATCCCTTAATCTTAATCTCAACTAAATTTTCCCAATGAGCTCAAAATGTCCTATGTACCATTTCCCAAGTACACCATGTTCTTCACCTCTAAGACTCTTTATATATAAAGATGGATAATTCTAGTAAGCTTTTCCTCTCCATTTGTTTCCAACTAACTTCTATTTGTCCTTCAAGATTCAAATCATTCAAGATCTTCACTCTGACCTTTATCCAGTCTGGATTGCCAATCTCTCTTTTTTCTTCCAAAATATAATACATCCAATTCTCTAACAATTTATTTTATAATGCATTATTATTCTTGTTTAATTATTTGACTCTCCAACTAGATTGTGAGTTCCTTAAGTATAGAGACTAGCTTGTTCATACACACATATACTTATTTTTGTATGTGTATATATAAGTAAATATGTAAGTTTTATAGTAATAGTACAGTAATGTATATAGAAAATGACAGAGACAAAATGTTTTCTAAACTGGGATCCCAGAACGATAACAACAGTAGCAAGTAACAAAACTCTTCATTTGTATTTTGTTGGGCTAAACTTGAAAACAATAATACAGTCTGTCTCCCTTTAAGTTCTTTAAGAGATGTTAGAAGAACTTGTGACACTTGAGTAAAGTCAAATAGAGAAGGTTTCTTATTAGAATGAGTCACTATAAATGACCTTTTTTTGGTCTCGCAGTTTGCCATGGAAAAAGCAATATAAGATGCCAAGTTTTTCTCTGATTTTCTACTAATAACAATAAAAAGAAATAAGTTCAGAATGAAGTCATCAAAAATAACTGCTCTTTTATATTTATAGAGCCAGCTTATGAACTATACCTGCTCTAAACAGGCTACACTATCCAGCAAGATCATTCCATGCTGTGAACTGCCAGAACCATTCCGAGGGGAATGCATTATCAACTCAGAAAATGACAAACCTGATCTCTCATCCCTGCCACTTAGCAGGTTTACAGAAGACCAGTTTGTATGCAAACAATTCACTGACAAACAAGATGACTTCCTACAAGAGTAATATGGCTTTTTGTAAAATCTTAGTAATAGTATATTGTATTTATGGATTCTTTGGGAGAGATTGCAAACTTGAATGATGACAGAGGCGAGGCAGTGATGTGAGTGAATCGTTAAATGGCTGAGAGGAGATGCCTTGTGGAGTCCAAGGTTGCAGCTACTTTTTGACTCTAGCTACTTGTTACCATATGGGAATGTAGGCTTTGGGTCATTGGATCAACTGCATTTTGAGAGAAGTTGGAAGTCTCTTGATTTTTAAATGTTGACAACTAATATAGGAATTTTAAAAAACACAGTGAGCATCAAGTGTGTGCAGGCTTTGCTCTGAGGGACTTAGAGTCATCCCTAAGTAAGGGTTTCAGATTGGTATGCCTGGCCAGCTCTTCTAATTAATTTAATGCCTACTATCAAAGCCATAGTGTGGCATTACAAGATTAAAGAGATGGAGTTCTAACATCTCTGGTGTCCATTCAGAAGTGCAAATTATTTTGGGCATAAAGCAAACTGATTTCAATGTATTATAATATTAAGACAATATTACTGAGTGATTGAAATAGTTCCAAAGTCACTTTGTGAGGTATTATTTGGAGCAGCTAAATTCTAACAAAACATAAGAATTTGAATTTTCCTCAAAGTTTTCTGTAGATTGACTTTAGCTATATTTCTAAAATTACATTTGACGCTGGCTTATAAAAATAAATATCACTACCTGAACTCACTTATCCCTAAACTTGCATTTAGTATTGAAAAAGTCGATAGGCACAACTTCCTAGTGGAAATTACGTTAGACTATGAGTTGTAAGACCTGAGTTCCAGTCTAGCTTGGTCATGCATCAGCTTTGAAATGCAGTTCAAGCCACTTAATTTCCCCAGACGTTTGGGTTCCAACTGTAAACTGAGGCAGTTGGATAAGATCACTTCAGATGTCCCTTCTACAATTCTATGATTCCTTTGAAAATATTCTAGAGTCCAAATTTCTCTTTCTTGTAACCCAGAAGAATGTGCAGATTACGGACAACTCATGCTTGAAGGCTTATGTGGAAAACAGGGGAAGGTGGTTATTTAATACCTAGTCAGCACAGTCTTACAAAAAAATTGTAATATTTATAAAATCTAGCCTCAAAGGTCATCAAAAAATGTTCTCACCCAAACGCTTGAAATGAATTTCTAGTAAAAGTAAGGAGAGACCCTGAGCCAGGAACTAAATCTTATCAGGATGTTTTAGGTTCAAGTTTGAATCTGCCACTCACTACTGTGTAACTTTGGAAAAATCACGTAATTTTATTGATTTTTTATCTCAAAATATAGCCCATAAAACTTCCCTGCCAGCCTCCCAAGATTTTCAAATACCTAAAGTCAGTTAAAATATTGAATAAATGTCATGGTCATAGGTGGCTTTTGAAAGAAAACTATGGCTTCAGAAATTTAGTGTTTACTTTCTGATATGCTTCATGTGCTTACAGGTTTCTTTATGAATATTCAAGAAGACATCCAGAGTTGGCAGTTCCAGTGATTTTAAGAGTGGATACAGTATATCAAAACTTACTGGGAAAATGCTGTAAATTAGAAAATCCTCTGGAATGCTATAGTCATGGGGTAAATTCCTTTTTTTAAACCTGTTTCTCATAAGTGATTATAAACATAGGGAAAGGTCCAATGCTGTTAGTAGTGCTGTACTTTTGTAAGATGATTACGCATGTTCTTTCTAATTGCAAGCACTACACAAAAACTTTGATTTCTGTCTAAACCAAAGGCCACATCATTATACAGCAGCAACTTTCTGTGTGAGTCACTGCCTTACAGATTCTGTGTTTTATGAAAACAACTCTGTGCAGTCTTCTCTAAAATTTGCTTGGCATGGTAGCAGGTAGCATGAAAGCATAGCCTATTAGGGTGAGGGAAGGTTGACGGTTTCCACCAAGCAGGCCTGGAAACTGTCCCTATCTCAGGCCAGAAATCATACTGTTCACAGGCAGCAGCTCCTGTTGTGTAGTTGACATGGAAAAAGCCGGTTGCCTTACAAATCTCTGACCAGACATCTGTTATCCACAGTTTACCAGGAGCCAGGTGGTTCTGGCTTTTGTTATGCTGATTAGTGGCTTACGTATTTATAGAGAGGTGGGGATGGAGGATGAAGGCATTTCTTGTCCTGTTTGAGCTCAAGCAGGTACACCTAGCATCTTCCTGTTCCCGGAGAGAAGGCTAAATGAAGGCGACTTAGTCTTTTGTAGGTTAGCACCCTTTCATAGCATCACCTGTAGACTCCACAATCATCATTATGATAATAGCCCCTTATAGGAGCATGGATGTTTAGAGTTTACAAAGTAGCTTTACAACAAGTGTCCTATTTTATTCTCACAACAGCTTGGTAAGATAGGTAATGGCATAAGTACTAGCTACATTTTGTAGATGAGAGTTTTGAGTTTCAGAAGGTTCAGGTGACTTGTCCAATGTCACACAGGCAATAAGGACAAGGCTAAGTGTTAAATCCAGGCAAACAGTTTGCCAATCAGGTAAAATTTTTACTATAACAAATACTGTTTATTAGGATCAGGTGGACTGGGTCTGATTACTTAAGAAGATAACCAGTGCTCCTACCAAAGAGCTAAGTCTGCAAGGTCACTTGTATCTTCCCACTGGAATTTTATTTGCACTGTTCAAGAATTCTTTGAACTTTCATTTAGCTCTGAGAATTCCATGTGATTCCCTTTAACGTGTATTTGTGGAGTGCTTTACTATGTTCAAGTCCGGTACTTGTTCTTATTAAACCATGACTTCTTAATATGTATCTATATTTCTATACCTACATCCATATCTCTATATCTATACTGTTTACATAAAAATGCTGTATTATTAAAAATAACCAATATGCACGCATACACACACACATTCTGATCAATTAAACTTAGCTCTATAAATTACTTTTAAGGACCTCTTTTTGGCTTGATGAATGGTTAGCTTTATGCTTGTAAAATATGCCATTTAAGCCCATAAATGAGGTCATACCACAGGAAACTAAATATCAATCTTGCTGTCCCACTTTTTTCTCCACAAAGTACATGGCCATTCCTGTTTCAGCAAAATGTGTTTTTTCAACATTTCCAAACTCACTAAGTAAATAAAACCCTGGGTTTAGTAAAACAGTCACATTAAACTATTACAGAAGATGGTTTTGCAATCTTACCTCAAGATATATTGTTGCAACGATAGATAAACACTGATTATCTTTATTTTTCAGGAAGAGATGTTTCAAAGAGTGGTTCATGAAAGCCGTGAGCATGTGAAAAATCAGTGTGATTTACATGAGAAATTAGGAGAGAGTAACTTCCATGACAGGTATGCTTCCAAGATACTGTCCGATTTATGGTTGTTCGTGAGTTTTTGTTGACTCCTGCCGCTGAGAGTTGCTAAGAGTCTGTATTCAACCTTAAAATCTCAGAGGCCAAGGGAAAACTCAGTTCAGAATTAACCTAGTTATCTTTGTCTTGATAAGACAGTTGTCCACATAACCTTGGGTGCTTTTACATTGCTTTTTGGGCCAGTTTCCAGATTCCAGTCAATGCCCAGAGGTCAGGGAGCCAGCAGACCCTGACTGCCCTTCCGCAATCCCACAGGAGCCCTCTACCCTTCACCTGGACATTTAGTTTGGGGCTTTGCATGCAATCTGGAGTCAAGGCTGCAACAGAGATCTAATCTAGGTTTTCTTGTCAGTTTCAAGTCAGGTCAATATAGCAAATACAGTATTTTCACCATCAAGAGTAGAGATAAATAGGCACCTTAGTCAGAGGGAGCACATGTTAACTCTTTGTGTGCAGAGAGCCTGGTAAATCCCATTGTATTTCAAAGATTAAGATATCAAAAAAACAAAAAAGCCAATTTTCAGTTACCTTTAAGATCTTACTGTAATAGTCTATTAAGAAGCAGAGTATATATGTCAATCCCAATCTCCCAATTCATCACACATATATACAATAATACGTATAAAATGGATAACTAATAAGAACCTGCTGTATAAAAAAACAAACAAAATAAAATTCAAAAATTCAAAAAAAAAACCAACTGAATGCAGAAAACCAGGTGGAGAGCACTACGTTTGTGGATGTTATTTCAATAAAAATCCAAACAGTTTTGTGTGTGTGTGTGTGTGTGTGTGTGTGTGTGTGTGTGTGTGTTTTGATAAAATGATCTTAAAATTGAAACAGATATAAAATAGGTAACTAATAAGAACCTGCTGTATAGCACAGGGAACTCTACTCAAAAAAAAAAAAAAAAAGAAGCAGAGTATTGGGGAAAAGTTCAGTTTGATACAGTGTCCCATAATATTGAGCTTAAATTAAATGTCCAGAATAATGGATCCAAAAAAATTATTCTTGTTTTAGAATATGTGGCTTATTATTATTTTTTTTTACTGTTGTGTTTAATTGCTAACATCTAGCTTAAGGATTAGACCGGTGGCTCTCAAACTTTAGAGTGCATCAAAATTACTTGGAGGACTTGTTAAATACAGCCCACCTCTAGAGTTTCTGATTCAGTACATCTGGAGTGGGGCATGAGAATTTGTACTTCTAACAAGTACCCAGGGGATGCTGCCAATCCAGGGGTCACACTTTAAGAAGCACTGGATTAGGTTGACTATTTCCTTGGATGCTATAGCTAAATTCTTCCCCTAACTCCATTATAATATAAATGCAATAAATGATTCTGACATTTTGTCCTCAAATTCAGTTCTGCAGAGTTTCTCATTAAAATCTCTCTCCATATCCCTCAGTTCCCACTACCACTCTCCTAGTTCAGGCCATCACTTGAATTACTGGCATGGACTTTTCTTCCCTCACTTTGCCTCTTGCCCACCTCCAATCCATTCTTTATATAGCAACCATAATTATCTTTAAAACAATGTAAATCTGATTCTATAGTTAAGCTTTCTTCCTTCTCCTCTCTCCAATTCCCAATCCCCCCTAATTAAGAAAAAAATCACAATCAGTGACTTTTTAAATGCTCCCTTCTTACTTTCACTCCCCTTCACCTGGCTCATTTTTAGTTATTGTCAGATCTCAGCTCACATGTCATTTCCTCTAGGAAGCCTACCTGACCTCCCTGGGATGGGATTAGTTGTCGTTCTGTGTGCACCTATAGCATTCTCTATTCCTCTCATTACACTGAGTGTACTCCTCTATCTCCACCACTAGAGGCGTGAGACCATGAGAGTAGGACATGTTTCCTGATCGTTGGTTGCTGTAGCTTCTATTCCTACACGTTGTAGACAACCAATACATGCTTTAATGGCCTGTGCATATATTTATTTCAGAAGCTGTTTACTATGAGTCTGATTTTGCAGCCATCCAAATTAGCTATCACAGTATCCTTCATAAGTAGAAAGAAGATGGATCAGAGTGGAGCAATGTGTGAGGTGGAAAGGGAATTCCAGGTATACTGAATAAGCCATTGAGCCCCTGGGTCAAGAACTAAAAGGATAGACTTAAACCCAGTCTAATGACTTGCTCATCCCACATCAGAGACAATGTCAGATATTGAGAAAAACTTTGTAGAATTCTTCATTTGGGGCACATAGCCATTGCCAGGAATAAGAGGAAATTATTCTTTCAGGCTCATAGTCCTTTATACTAAGAAAGCCCCACAACTATCTGCTCAGGAGTTGGTTATATTCACGAAGAGCATGGCAGCTGCTGCCACCACATGTTGCCCACTGAATGATGAGCAACAGTTTGCTTGCATGGAGAACTCGGTAAGCGCATCCTTGACTGCATGTTTGTCTGTTGTTAAAAGTTCTGAACTGCAAGCCCCAGCAATCAGTCTCATATTGGTGGACACATCTATGAATTGTCAATGGAACCTTATAATTCTGTCCTTAAGAGAATTTATTTCTGGTCAGTTCATGCCAATTGTCTTTGATTAGCAGCAGGGATAAATAAGACTATCACTTTGCAAAAACTGGGGATGTCAGATTCACCAGACCTTTGCCTGGATCATAACCCAAGGTCTATTCCCTGGATTTTCAAGTCAACAAAAGCGATTTTGCTGATTTTAGACTAACTCATACTAATCAAAAGTGTAGGAAAAAAACCACCCAGTTTCCTCTTGTGTTTCTCCTTTACTCTCACACGATTACCATACTCACAACACTTCTGACACCAGATGTGTGTGGGTTTTTTTTTTTCCCCCCAAAGCAAGCACTGGGAATCCTACAATTTAACTCAATTCTAACACTATCTGCTTGGAGATAGCATCAGATCCTACGGGTTGAGGGCTCAGTTCCACAGGACTGCTCCCACCTCACTTCAGATGCCAATCACAAGTCCAAGTTGTCACCTGTGCTTCTGACTGATTAGCTATAAATCGGAGGTTTCCACAACCCCCTCCTTGGATTCAATTAATTTTCTAGAGCAGTTCACAGAACTCAGGAAAACACAGTTATCAGTTTATTGAAGGATATGAAAAAGATGCAGAAGAACAGCCAGACAAAAGATACATAGGGTGAGACCTGGGAGGGTCCCAAGTGCAGGAGTGTCCTGTGGAGTTGGGGTGCTCACCCTCTCGGTACTTGGATGTGTTCACTCACCTGAAAGCCCACTGAACCCCATACTATTGGGATTTTTATGGAGGCTTCCTCACATAGACATGACCAATTATTAACTGTATTTTCAGCTTCTTTCCCCTCTCTGGAGCATGGGGGTGGGGCTAAAAATTCCAAGCTTCTAATCATGTCTTGGTCTTTCTGGAGACCAGCCCCCATCCAGAAGCCATCCAGGAGCTCACTCAGAGTCATCTCATTAGAACAAAAGCTGCTCCTAATGCCCTTATCACTTAGCAATTTATGAGCATACCAGGAGCTTTGGGTCAGGAACCAGGGTCAAAGGCCAAATATTTATATTTTCTGTTATCTTACATCAAACTTACAAGTGTTACCTTCATTAGACAGAATACCAGGTTTCATTTACAGTGAGAAATGTCTTCCCAACGTCAAGAATAATTGGGTCTAATAACTAGGCTACACTTTTCCCTGAATCACATTACTTGGGAAGTTGAATTAGGATATGGGTATTCATGCAAATGGAATCAGAGGAAGGGCAGGGATGGTCTTGAGGGATATTTCTTCCAGGGATATGAATTATTCCCTCCTAGCAATGGAGAACATCACTCCAGGACCTGGATGCTCATCTCCAGGTCTCTCTCAAGTGGTATATTTTAACGCTACTGAATTCTTGTTTGGTGACAGCTTTCTTTGTCCTATATTCTTGGTAGAGCATCTCCTCTATACTAAGTTAGTCTTTTTTTCTGATAAAATATAGTTGTTTTGGTTACAGATTTAAAATTTTTTATTATCCAGCTCTGTTTTCCTTTTATTTTATTATAAATTTTTATTATCTAATCATGCCTTCCTTGGGGAACTCTTGATTTATATTCCTAAAACCTTGTTTTTAAGTGATCTCTTTGGTTACTTCAATAAATTCATAAATTAAATATTGATGCTCACTGGTTTCAGTCACTTCATCCCCACATAGATAAGTGACAGGGAATTTGTGTGGTCATTATACTCAGAGTGGAATACAGGCAGCCTTGCAGTCAGCATCAGGATAAGTATCAGACACACCCTGGGAGCAAGGCAAGGTGACTGTTCTAGAAGGAGACAAGAAAATGGAAGGAGACAACTGAAATAAGATCCAGGGATTCCTTTCACCATTCATTTATTCACTTTTTCATTAATTCAACCAGTGTTTATAGGTGATTTATCATATACCAAGTTCTGTGGTAGTTACAGATGTCCAGTTATAAAACACAGAAACACATTGGATTTGAGCTTTTTTAGAAGTGCACTCATCAGTCTTGCATCTGGGTCAAATTAGCAGTCATGTTGACCTGAGACTTGATTTTAATTTGATGGAGCATAAGAAACTCCTGCCTCAAGTCAACACTGGTCTATAAATTGCACACTGAGGAGGAATTGGGAGGTCGGGTCCAAGGGAACTGACCTTTGAGGATGACAGGAAGAGGGAGGACAAGGCTGAGAACCAGGCTTCACCTGACACTCTTGCTCTTTCCCAGACAGTGAAATCCAGGCCAAATTAGCAGGAAACTAGAATTTGAGAATACTTTTCTATGGATAAAAAAAAATAATATTAATGACCACAAACCTTATGGCTCTTATTTTAATTCTTTTCTGGGGAAGGCAAAGCTAATTCTTGGAGCTCTATGCAGAAGACACGAGGCAGAGCCTATCAATGCTGGCGTGGGTCACTGCTGTGATGACTCGTATGCCTTCAGGAAGCCTTGCTTTGATGACCTGCAAGTAGATGGAACTTACATTTCTCCACATTTATCCTGTGACCAAGTCGTCAACCTTAATGAGGACTTGTGCAGAGCTCAGGAGGAGGAATTACAAACTGAAAAGCAAAAGTAAGGATCTCTGTTTATATGTATATATACATTCTGGTTACCCTGAATCAACACAATGCATCAAAAGCCCTCCACCTCCTGGCAGTGGGGCAGTTCCCCTTTAGTGCCCACTCACTCCTCCCACCCTCCTCACGTGCCCCTGATCCTGTCCTCAGGAGAAAGCGGGTCCTGGTCCTCATAGTTCCTTCTCCCCCACGATCATTAGAAATGGTTGGTAGCTTACTTCTAATTAATTTATTTACTCTAACACTTGCTCTTGGAGAGTCTAAATATTATTAGTCCAACAATATCATCTTGCCAAGTGAGGCAGAGTTTTTATTGCCTTGGGAATAAACACATTCCCGTGGGCAGCAGGCGTAAGGTTGTCACTTATTCTGTTTTATCACAGTACTTAAAATTCATAAGCCAACTGACCCTTGAGGTCCTTTCTTCAGTTCCCAAGGTGAGCTGATCACAAACTAGACTGTAAAGCTTTCCTGTAAGCATCCAAAAACCATTGTAACACTTAGTTAGCCATTCTTTCTTTAGCCCAGGCTGATGTGAGAAGATAATACTTTATTTTTAGAGTTTGGGCTTTGCTTTCTCTTGAGGAAATTCTCTGGCATAGATAGGCACCCTTGATGTATATCATCTCACCAAATCCTGACCGCAGATTTAGGGGGTAGATAATATTATTACCCCATTTTAATTGTGAGGAAGCTGAGGCTAAGAAGACAAGAAGAAATGGTATGAGATCATGCAGCAGGTAAATAAGTTGTTGAACTGGAATTTGTACCCAGGCTACCTGGCTCAAAGCACATATACTTAACTACCAATATGTAGCTGTTAGTGTGCCCTAATCAAGGGGTTATAATGCTGGTGATAATTTTTAATACTTGAAAATCTTCATGTAAGGGCTAGATGATGAAAAGTGTGAAATATTAGGAAGCATCCGTGTTCTAGTGAATTCACTGTGTTTTCTGTATGGAGAAAGCAATAACACAGAGACAGCTAATGTAGATATTTCTAGAATATTCTGGGAGGATACATATTGGGAGTCAAGGGCTGGGCTAGACAAAGCTCTCCAATTTCCTGGGAAGTGATAGGGGTTCTCTCCATGGCTTTCACCCCTATATAGTTCTGACTGATCATCATAGCATAAGTCCACATACACACAAAAAAGAAAAAGAAAAAAGTGAAGGGGCTCCTGGAGGGGAAAGACAAAATTCAGCAGGTTTAAAAAGAGAAGGCAGAAATGAGGTCATGGAATAAGACAGAGGAAATAAAGAGAATAGAAGTTCAAAGGAAAAGAATTTAAAATCCAATTAAGAAAAATACAGAGTTGAAATGTTAAGACTTAAGATAGTATATAAAGACTAGAATGTGCTTTAAATGAAAGGGTGAATAAATGTAATGAAAACAAAAGATTAATATCATTGAAATGAAAAGCTGGAAACAACTTGATGGTGTTGAGGATTAAAAGTAGGATCTAATATTTTAAAAGGTAAATTAAAAAAATTAAAACTAAAGGGTTGAATAGAATTAGGGGAAATGTTTTAAAACAGCAGTTAGGTTGATAGGTAGAGAGATCCGGGGGGTGGGCTGGGTGGGTGCGAGGAAGTGGACAGGAGAGATAAACCCACTGCAAGCAGATCACAGGTATGTGGCAAGTCGTTGTAAGGGAGGGGGGCCTAGCTTCCAGATGGCACAGAGTCCCCAGTTGTAGAAAAGGCAGCCTTCATATCTGGAGTGTCTGGAGTGTCAAGGACCATGACATGCTGATACATCTGCTCCAAATCTCATTCCCAGACCTGCATTCTCATAATGGGACCCTTTTTTCCCCTTACCTATCCCAGTACAGTGAAAGTGTTTCTCCTTGTTTGTTTATTTATTGGAGTATAATTGTTTTACAGTGTTGTGTTAGTTTCTGCTGTACAATGAAGTGAATCAGCTGTATGTATACCTATATCCCCTCCCTCTTGGACCTCCCTCCCACCTCCACCCCCCCATCCCACCCATCTAGGTCATCACAGAGCACAGAGCTGAGCTCCCTGTGCTTTAGGTAAGCAGCTGCCACCTGATCTGGAATCTCAGCGGTCATGCAAGTGTTCCCTCTACTGGTGCCTCTGGAGACGTGCATCCAGAAACCAGCTGACCCAGCAGGACAGAGGAGAGAGCAGAATAGTTGGGTGTGTCTGAAGCATAGGTGAGAGAGGGGAGAGAAACTTTTGGGGCTGAGACTAGAGGGGTTGGGAGGGTTCAAACCATGAAGACAATTGGAATCCCAGAGCTTGTGAGGGAAGAGAAGGGTACCTATGAAGGAGCCTTCCTACATCCTCTGCTAGATTTCTCTATTATTGTTAAATCTACAGCTCAGACCCTCAGGGAAATTATAAAACTGCTCATCAGTTATTTGCTGAGTGAATAAATGAATAAGTAGGTGAGAAGCTGTGACAGTGTACCATTTATTGTGGGAGTCAGGGAGAAGGGAGACTGTGGTTGGAAGCAACCAATAATTTGAAACGAAAGTTGCAAATTGTGCTATTACTATAATTATTCATTATAATTATTATAATTATTCATTATCATTGCCATAATTTGATGAAATAATTATTCATATTATCTTTGCCACTATTTATTAAGTGCCTTCAGTATGACAGTTACTGTACTCAGCCCTTTAATATAGTATTATTTTTGGTCCTCACAAAAACCTTGCAATGTAGGTATTCAAATTCTCATTTTATAGAGTAGGGTCAGAGAGGTTAACTATCTTACCCATCGTCACACAGACTAGTGAGTGGAGGACCTAACTTGAGCAAAGTTTGTGCACTTTTTATGACATTGGAAGGAAAAAGAAGTCCAGATTTTGCATGAACTCACAGTAAAACCAGTGCCCCTCCTATACCAGCTTTGACTACTTGGGGTGCTGAATCCCCCAGGCCAGACCATAGAAACCCCAGTGGGTGCTGAGAAATGTGGTAATCTCACTGTGTAGGTACTCATGATGGTTAGTTTCTGTAACATGGGACTGAAGCTGTCCTATGCTTTTATGGGTTGGGTAGTGAATTTCAGCATAATGAACAATATTGTTATCTGTGGGGGACTATCTTCTGAGACAAAAACCACCAAAATTCCAATGGGAAATAGCCTGTATTTCTCACTTTGAATAATTAATTTGTTAAAAACTGATAATTATTATTCAAAGATAGTATCAACTGTTTTGACCGTACATCATACGTAACCATACAGACTTGAATGATACAGAGACACAAACAAGCACAGTGTTTTCTTTCAAGTGGGATCAAGTTGAGGTCTAATTGGAAAATTGAATATGTACATATCTCAACTATAATAAAACATAATTTAAAAAAGATCAAATATGTACAGAACGGTTGGATAGAAAAAAGAATGCTTATACTATTCTATTTCTTTGTAAAATGTTGACTTACTTCATTATTAAAGTAATACATAGTCTTTGCAGAAAATTTAGAAAATACAGAAAAGAGAAGAAAAACATAATACTTTTATTCCAACACTGCAGAGATACCCATTATAAATATATGTATAGTGTAGGAATACATAATTCCATATCTGTACACAAGTGCACACTCCCACAATTGCCCTCTGTCCATCAGTCTATGGTTTGAATACATAATAATGCAAGTTTTGCACATTCTTACTACTACCTGCTTATACAGAATTTCAGTTCCAGCAATTATCCTCAGAATCCTCAGGGGAGAGCTTATGAAACTCCCCTTGCCTCTCCCACTCGGCAGGAATTC